TCGACAAAGAGATAAGGTTTCGATAAGACCTTATCAACAAATGTATCTATTTTTACCCTGTGACAGAGTAAAAATAGTTTTTACTATTCTTGACTGAAGGGGTATTTTAGACTTTTTAGTTTATGTTTCTGTCTATAAAAGGAGCCTCACTCTCAGCACATGATATAAAAGTGCAACATACAAAAAAAAAAACTAGTGAGAGAAAGAGAGCTTGTTCTCTGAGGTCTTCCTTTTATTTTCCTCCTCTGTTGTAATTTTCCTTCCATCAATAAAATCTGTAAGTATTTCTGTAAGATGATGGCTGGCTAAACCATCATTGGTAGTTCTTAGAATGCCTTAGTTATTTTTTTTAACATATGCGAATATAGTTTAGAACCCTGAACTCTTTTGTGAAAACCTGGGATTTGTAAGCATGAGAAATTAGGTGTGCCCTTGATATCTGTTTAAAAGAATAAGAAAAGTTTTTAAAAGAATTCGTCTGGAGGATAAACTGAGGCAGTTGTAAGACCCTTGGTGTGGGCTGTTGGTAAAACCTCAAAGTTTCCAGAAGAGCCAGAGAATTATTTAAAAATAATTCTTAAATTTTCTTTTAAAATACAATTAATCTCAATTTCACACATAAATGAGTTCTGGTTGTTCATTATATTCTATATTATGTTAAAAATTATAACTTATTGAGTATTTCTAAGAACTATCATACTTATTTCATTGTCTTCCGCTTCTTTTCTTTCACTCTGATTATTATATATTTTGTTGTAAAAATTCCTAACTAGGAGGCTCTGCCACCTTTTCTGGGGTCTTTATTTTATGATTTTATATTATAGGAACGGATATATATGGATATATTTATGTGAATATCCCTTCCCTCATATTCATATAAAAATATATATTAATTCAGTCTCTTATTCAGTACCTGTTATTTCCGATTTTTATAGTTTATTAAAAAAAAAAAGAGGCACACCTTATTTGTTTGGTTTTAAACCAATCAACAAATTTTTTCTTCTCAGGTACCAGTTTTTGCTGTTTCATACGGAGAAAATGAACCAATTTCTCAAATTTTCAGAGAATATAAAAGAAATTGGAAAGCACGTTTTTCAAATAAAAGCGTGACATGTTTTCAGAACAAAAAATATGAGGCATATCTAGCAAATAAAGAGAATGAGAATTGAGATTCAGTGTTTGTACCATCGTTGGCTTATTTTGTACACTTCTTCATCACATGACATCGTCTCTGACTTTTCAATTAGCTAAAAACATTATGACCAAAACGATAAAACCCCTCTCTACCATGCAACCTAAAGAGAAGCCCCTTACGTTAAGTTATCTTTGTTTTCTTGTACACCTTTCGGTATTCTCCTCCACACACTCTCACTTCATACTTAGTTAGTGCTTGCCAATAGCAGTTGTAAGACCCTTGGTGTGGGCTGTTGGTAAAACCTCAAAGTTTCCAGAAGAGCCAGAGAATTATTTAAAAATAATTCTTAAATTTTCTTTTAAAATACAATTAATCTCAATTTCACACATAAATGAGTTCTGGTTGTTCATTATATTCTATATTATGTTAAAAATTATAACTTATTGAGTATTTCTAAGAACTATCATACTTATTTCATTGTCTTCCGCTTCTTTTCTTTCACTCTGATTATTATATATTTTGTTGTAAAAATTCCTAACTAGGAGGCTCTGCCACCTTTTCTGGGGTCTTTATTTTATGATTTTATATTATAGGAACGGATATATATGGATATATTTATGTGAATATCCCTTCCCTCATATTCATATAAAAATATATATTAATTCAGTCTCTTATTCAGTACCTGTTATTTCCGATTTTTATAGTTTATTAAAAAAAAAAAGAGGCACACCTTATTTGTTTGGTTTTAAACCAATCAACAAATTTTTTCTTCTCAGGTACCAGTTTTTGCTGTTTCATACGGAGAAAATGAACCAATTTCTCAAATTTTCAGAGAATATAAAAGAAATTGGAAAGCACGTTTTTCAAATAAAAGCGTGACATGTTTTCAGAACAAAAAATATGAGGCATATCTAGCAAATAAAGAGAATGAGAATTGAGATTCAGTGTTTGTACCATCGTTGGCTTATTTTGTACACTTCTTCATCACATGACATCGTCTCTGACTTTTCAATTAGCTAAAAACATTATGACCAAAACGATAAAACCCCTCTCTACCATGCAACCTAAAGAGAAGCCCCTTACGTTAAGTTATCTTTGTTTTCTTGTACACCTTTCGGTATTCTCCTCCACACACTCTCACTTCATACTTAGTTAGTGCTTGCCAATATTCAAAAGACAAACAAATTTATTCCTTTGGTGTAAAGAAATAGAATTAACGTTTATGTCAATCTAAGCTCTTTTTATTATATTTTTTTTTAATTCATAAAAATGATTATGACTATAGACGAATTTATGTGTACTTTACTTTAGCACGCAGCTGCACCTCCTGACTTTGAGCATAATATAAATATGTATTTTATGTAATGTTTTCTTTTGTCTTAGTGTTCTAAATTATATATATATTTTTTTTGTCAATTTTTATATTTTACTAATTAGTTTCTTATTTATATTTTGATCTCTTTTTGATTCACTTTTCATTTCTAATGAATTTTTTTAATGTAATATATATAATTTTATTTTCATATATATTAATATATATTTTTTAAAATACTCCACTAACTCTAGATTTTAAGTTTATCATCCATGAGAGTCAATCATAAGTCCTACTTGTATTTTAAACCATTTTTTAATTATTAGACTAATTTTAATAATTAATTTAAGGTGTTATATTATGAGTTAATCACCTATATACTGTCAGTCAAAATATTTTTATACTAACAACCAATTAGATATTTTAATTATGTCATATCACTATTGAAAGTAAATATGTTTATAATGACATGACATAATTAAAAGATTTAATTGATTGCTAATATAAATTTTTTTTACGCCGATAGTATATAAGTGATTAGGTCTTATACTATTTAGAGTATCGTAATTTTTTAAGATGTTAACGATGTTAATGCTGTCCGTAAAAGGAAACACTCAATAATTAGTGCTGACCTTCTTTTATCGGTTAACGACATTATTTAAACTAAATATTATTATTTAAACTTTCATACTCATGAAAATATCATTTCTAAGAATAAAAGATATCCTAGAAGCCTTATAATAAATGTGAAAAATATTTTCACGTGTCATATCATATTCTAAAAAATAGATAAAGATAATTCGAAACAAACTTTTTTCAAGATTTTTTTTATTCATAAAAATAATTATGAGAATCGGTGGTGAACCTACGTGTACTTCAGGGTGCAGCTGTAACCCCTGACTTTAAGTATAATATAAATATGTATTTTATGTTGTTTTTTTTTCCTCTTAGGACTCTAAATTCTATATTTGGTTGTCAATTTTTATCTTTTACCGGTTAGTTTCCTTTTTATATTTTGGCCTCTTTTCTGACTCATTTTTATTTCTAGTGAGTGTTCTCTCTTTCTCTCTCTTTTTCATGTAATAATTATAATTTTGTGTTCATATATATTAATAAATATTTTTTAAAATAAATTATCCATACTGACTCAATGTCTCAAGTTTATTATCTATGAGAATCGATTATAAGTTGTATTTCTAATCTAAATATTTTTTTAATATTAAACTAATTCAAAGAATTAATTTAAGATATCATATTATTTATCGTTGTCATATTTTTAATATCTTAATTTTCTAAGATATAAACAATATTGATGTTGTCAGTAAAAAAAAACTCAATAATTAATGTATAGATGATTTTTTTTTTATCTGTTAACGACATTATTTAAATTAAATAACATTTTTAAAAATTTATTTTAACAAAAATTTAAGTGAGATTGAATCCCAAGAATTTCATTACACTCAAAATTATGTTACGAATATGTTTTTAATTTTTGAATTTGAATCCCATACACAAACCATTTTTAGTTTTTACCCGTTTGAACCAAGCGTGAAGTGAAAGTTGAACTGTTGAAGGGACACGTGGCGGGTGGGTCCTTTAGGTTAGCAGATTTTTCTGGAAAGCACACGTTTCAAATGCAGCAACTATGATGCTTGAAGCGGACAAAACAGAACCTATCATTTTGTCATCTCACTCCTAATTATTTTCTTTTTACTTAACATTAACTCGAAATTCCTCTAAATATATTAATATAACACAAATATCAAATTTAAATGTTTTTTCTTCTTATTTTATATAATTTTAAAAAAATTAAAAACAATTCTTCTTATTATTTAATAATAGCATAACATATAACTCATAGGATAAAATACTATTCAAGTCATTGAAAGTAAATATCACTTGCACTTTAATTCCTAAACGTAAGAATTTTTTTATTTATAAAAGTAAAGCTTTTCTAGTTGTTTCATTTAAATTCTTAAAAATAATTATTTATATCATTTTAATTTTTAAATATATGTTGATATTATTATTTAAATCACTTGCTCTTTAATATGTACTAAAGTGAAGAATGATTTATACTTTCAAAGAATTTGTTTTAACTTTTATGCTTCTAAAAACTAAAGTATTAACTATATACATTTTCAAGACTCGAATAATATTTTACTTTTAATTATATCATGATATAATAATCACATAGATAATATGTCTACATATACGATCTAACTTTAAAAGAAATATAACAACCAAATTTTAAAAACAAAATAAAGATTCCCTATATTATAAAAGCAAAGTACATATTTATTTTTATTTTTTTTATAAACATGTTTCACAAGGTATTTTAAATCTTAAATTAATCTAAAATTTGCAAGACGAAATTTTTGGTGGGCAAACATTAATCCTTATTTTTAAATAGCAAGAACCGGTTTACTTAATCATAATTAATTTATTTAAAGAAAAAGGTTGAGTTTCAATACTTACTCTTACACTAATAAAGTTAATTATATATTAGAATTCTTTTCTGGAAAATAGTATGAATAATAAACTCGCAGTATTGGTTTCTTTTGGTTTAAAAAAGAAGGAGAATCTTTCAAGCAACTCGAAACATATCTAGGGGATCTAGAACATATCTATTTTTGTACATCCTGTTCTAAACTCTGAAAATACTGAAGTGCTAGGGAAGCATCAGGTTTTCATGCTCATTCTTTCATTAAATTAAAGGTAAAGTTTCCGTAAACAACTCAAGATTTACTGATACTGAATGTTTTGAAGCTCGAAGAGATGATTTTTTTTTTTTTTTTTTAATTTGAATTATTTATTAACTATGAAAAGCCACTGCCTGATGTGTTCCAAATTCAAATTGCTATATTTTTATGTTCAGTTCAGCCCACATAATCTCTATACAAATTGCTATATTACTTGCTTTGTTTGCTAGAAGAAAAATAAAATCAGTTTGGAGTTCAGAATGACCAATTTTTATTTGTTCAAATTGGTTCTCCTTGTCTATCTCAGGGAAAATCCAGTTGAATTTGCACTGATAAACAGTTTTTTTTTTTTTTTTTTTTTTTGTTGCTGCTGGTTTGTGGTTGGTGCAGAACACAGTTTCTGGGGTATGGAAACTCTTTCCTATGGGTCAGCACCATGCTGTCAAGTTGTGAACTCGAAGTGGAAATTATTTGAAAAGAGTTTGGATTCACGTCAATCAAGAGTTCCCTCTATAGGAAAACTTGGAGTTTATTACACCAATACTATTTCTACGCATGGTCATGTGGGATTTTATGATATGGGTCGGGTGCAGCTAAGAGGCTCTAAAAGACTCAATTTCAAGGTTTGTAGTGGAAGTTATGATGGTTATGTGATTGGTGAAGAGGAAGCAAGGGATATTTCAGGGATAGAGGAGCCTGCGACCAAGGTTCTGATTCCAGGTCTACCTGATGATTCAAATGGTGAATCTGGTGCTCCAATAAGTAGTTGTTTTTGGAGATGGAAGCCGAAACTCAACGTGCACTATGAGAAAGCAGGGTGTGAAAACGTGGATTCTCCACATGTTCTCTTTCTGCCAGGTTTTGGTGTTGGCTCTTTCCATTATGAGAAGCAACTGAGGGATTTGGGGCGTGATTTCAGAGCCTGGTCTCTGGATTTTCTAGGCCAAGGGATGTCTTTGCCTTTTGAAGATCCTGCTCCTCTGTCTGCATCAAATGGAAGTACTTCTTCATGGGGTTTTGGAGATGAAACCGAACCGTGGGCAACTAAGCTCGTTTATTCGGTTGATTTATGGCAAGAACAAGTTCGCTGCTTCGTAGAGGAGGTAAGTCACATGCACTCTTCTTTGATAGTGTCCAATTTTTAGCCTTGAGTCTAGCTTTTGTTTCTTTTGCTAAAAGCCTCAAACTATATCATGAAAACTGTTCCAGGTAAATTTTATTCTGGGTTTGCTTTCTTCACTCTGGAGTTTTAGATTTCTCCTTGTAACATACGAAACTATGAATCCATTTATGTGTCTTTATCTAACAATTTAAGCTTTAGGCTAGTTTGTTCATGACATGTTACCAAATCCTCTATCTAATATCTATGACTAAGTTGTCTAAACTCTTGTGTTTGATTGATACTATACTTTCTTGACCTGTATGATTCATTGCTTAAGTATTCTGAAAAAGGATTATTTGTGGACTGTATCCATGTTTTAATCAGACAAATAACTTATAGCTTAGTGTAACACCTTCATAGTATGGTGAAATTTGTAATTCTAATTAGTTTGCTGGTTTTTTTATTAATTATTCATGGTGGGATATGGTTGGAGCAATAAAAGACATTATTTGATTCGAATGACTAATTTTTAATATCAGTGGTACTGAGAAAGACTTAAAGACAATTACTTCATGATTTCGGTCAGACACTGCCACGCCAATATTTGCTACTTCTGTCCTGTTAATGCTTTGCTCAAACTATATACTGAAAAATGTTTCAGGCAGTTTGCTTCTCGATTTCTTCTGACATTTTCTTAAGATGTATTCATTTCAAACAGGAGAAAAACTATATGCAGACTCTATCTATATCTTAATCAGACAAATATTTTATAGCATCATGTAACCCCATAGTATGGTTACCTTTTAGTATGGCCCAGTTTGCTTGTTTGTTAATTGTCGTGGTATGATATAGTTGGAACAATAGGTAAGGTTATTTTATTCAAAATGGCTTATTTTTAATATATGCCGAACTAAGAAAGACTTTAGGATGATTAGTTCATCATTTTGGGACTTGTGCAGCCTTTTTGTTCTTGTGGTCCCTCTCATGCGCGGTCTAGTTCTTCAACTATAATAACTTCTCAACAAATAAAGCATGATTTGTATTGCACTGGTGGTAATTACCAATGCTTGATTTGCTTGACTTTTATTGAAAAAACTATAATTGTCATGATATTTCTGTTACCCCATTTGATCCAAGAGTGCACTGCCGGTTCCTTCTCCAATATCTGTTGTTGACTGTCAACACAACCATGCCAATAAAAATATTGCCACAACCATTAAGTTAATCTATACTGCAAATATTCTTTTTTTCTGCTACCAAGAAAGCCATGTATGATCATCAGTATTTTAATGTTTCATTTTATACTTGTGTTTAAATTAATCTATAATGGAAATCCACACAACAGAATATTTCTTCAATATTTTTTCTTCAAAGATTTTGTCTTCCTAAGATCTTTCTAACCTTCTGCAATCTTTTGTTCTATATGTTATTATAATCACATTAACATTTCTAATGAGAAATATAGTTGACAGAAAGGATTTTGATAATCTATAATTTCAAGCTTGGTAGGATTTTGTGTGGTTTTATTCAGAAGCTACTTTGCTCGTGTAGATTTATTATTGTAGCAATGATGCAAATTAGTATGTTGTTACAGGTCATTGGTGAACCAGTCTATCTTGTGGGCAACTCACTAGGAGGACTTGTTGCATTGTATTTTGCGGCATGCAACCCTCATTTAGTGAAAGGTGTCACATTGCTTAATGCAACACCTTTTTGGGGGTTTCTTCCTAATCCAATAAAAAATCCAAGACTAGCCAAACTATTTCCATGGGCAGGAACATTTCCCCTACCTTCAAGCATAAAGAGACTTACAGAGTTGTTGTAAGTCTGGATTTATTTTTATTTATTGCTTCATTTCTGTCTTCTGTTGGTGATATTTTTACAGTATTGTAGTCATGAACTTCAAAATTAGTGCAGTTCAGGCATGTTTCCTACTTAACCATTCATGTGAATGATAAATAAGAAGCAATGCTTAAGGAACTTGGGGTTCTTTTTAGAAGAAGAAACTTCACAACACTATTGACAAGAACAACTGTGCTTTTGGAAATTGTCTCCAGTCATACAATTGCCTTGTGGCATTAATTTTGCTGAAGAATTCACTGCAGTTGCTTTCTCCATTAATAAGAATTTTTAGATATCCTGAAATATGTACTTCCGATGGGTGGGATTGTCCATGAAAGCTTTATTTTTTTTTTCTCCATGGTGTCAAAATGTGTCTCAGAGATCATTCCATTATTTTCTTAACTGGTGATAGTACAACTCCGGGAGCACTTCCATTAAGCTGATTGTTATCATGTTTTTTATCCTATAGGTGGGAGAAAATAAGTGATCCTAAAAGTATTGCTGAGGTTCTTAGTCAGGTTTATGCAGATCATTCGATAAACGTAGATAACGTTTTTTCACGCATAGTTGAAACCACAAGGCATCCTGCTGCTGCTGCATCATTTGCTTCAATAATGTTTGCTCCTCAAGGAGAACTATCCTTCAGTGAAACATTATCCAGGTAGTAATGACTAGATCTCTATCCGGTATTAGATATGCATGAATCCACAAGTTAAGGATTTTCACCTTTTCTGCGTTTTAGATGTCGAGCAAACCAAGTGCCAATCTGCCTCATGTATGGAAAAGAAGATCCCTGGGTGGCACCAGTTTGGGGCCTCCAGGTTAAAAGGCTGGTGCCTGAAGCTCCATATTATCAAATCAGCCCTGCTGGTCACTGCCCTCATGATGAAGTTCCTGAGGTATGCAGTTCATCACTAATCACCTTGAAACTTTTCATTCTACTTTTTAATTGCAATCTGAAACCATGAAGATATAAGGGTTTTTTTTATCAATTTTATGTGATAAAAAGCATGCGCACAAAATTTAAATGTGGAACTACTACTATGTTGCTTAATGAAAGGCAGGAATGAGTTTGATTTATCACTTCTTAAAAATCATTTCTTCTATGTACTTTCCTTTCCCTCATTGTAAGTAACACATGTTCTATAACCTTTGGCTTTCATTATAAAGGGCAATACTAAACTGACTCGCAAAGGCAAATAATGTTGGAGATCCTTAGTCAACTAATAATAAAGCCAAAATAGTATATATAGGTGGGGGCAACCCTCATGTCATCGAGTGTTCTTTTTGGCCAAGTCCAAAATCTAAGAAATAACCATCTACCTTTTCAGGCGAATAATTTTTCAGGCTTGTCAGTTGACAGTGTACATGTCTCTATCTGGAATCTTAAGAAAAGAATGTTAAATATAATCTTATCAAGTTCTTTAAATGATCGTAAGGCTTTTGGGGAAATTTTACTTTTACTAGATTGTATTCCATCTTCAGTGTTTATTTTCTTGTTGTGACTTTCACGATCATGATCACAATAATTAGTACTATAAGTTTCCTTTTGTCCATATTGTACTTTACTTTGATATCTAAGTGAACATCTTATGCTCCTCTCACTTAGCTTTTTTATAAAAACTTTAGCTTATTTTAAAAAATAAAAATTGAGTTTCATTGTTTATATGTAGGTCATAAATTTCTTACTTCGTGGGTGGATCAAAAACCTAGAGTCCGAGGGTTCTGTGTCCTTACCATTGCTTGAAGATATAGACAGCATGAAGCAAACTACTATTGACAGGGAATTAGAATTTCCCAGAGAAGGTTCAAAAAAGTCAGTGATGATAAGATTTTTCGCTTCCAGTTTGTCACTTTGGGACAGGATAAGATCTTTCATTAAATCTCAATCCAAATTCAGTAATCTGGCAGCCAAAACTCAATGACCTGGTGAACTATATGGCATCTTCAAACATAAATCAACTTTGTACACTGTCTTCTCTTTTTCATAGTTTGTATAGAGAAACAAACACACTTGTTTTAGAATCATAGATAAAATGTTGTATATACATATCCATTTGTTACCAAGAAAGTATGTCAAATTAACAACGATTACAAAGGAGATGTTTTATGTTAACCATCAGAACATCAAAACATGGTCTATTTTTTTATTATTATTTATTTTTTAATTCAGTAATGAAATTCTTGGCAAACCCAAAACAGTTCGGCAGTGACACTCTTCGATTCTAGATATTGCAATAAGTCAAAATCATGGACAAACATGAAAATGAAGAATATGAATCGCAAGAAGGTTCTGGATATTTTATAAACTAACCACTTACATGCCGATTAATTCCAGAAATGAAAAAGTGACAAAATAACATAAATGTGAACGAAATACTGCAAGGGTCCAGAGAGAGAAGCAGAAATCAGAGAAAGAGAGATACATCACATCCACCACTCCGACATTCTCCTAACAGATTATATCCCTTCAATTCAGCCTTCCCTTAATTTTCGGATGATAAGTCTCTCACGTGTGTTGAGACTAATTTTGCTATAAGATATATGTTGAGCGGTCCAAACCACATTAAGAGGAAACCCGACCCAAAAGAGAAATCAAGAAGTTAACATTTTTTATTTTTTATTTGCTGAAAGGGGCTAACTGCATGAACTAAAAGCCATAGAAAAGGGGACTGCGGAAGCATCCGCTAACAGTAACCAGGCAACAGGGGTATGAAAAATTTGGATGCCTTCTAACATAGTCAATCCTCTCTTACCTAAAACATAAGTCACTTGATTAGTCTCTCTCAACACATGTCTATAGTTAACAAGAGAGACATTATGAGTCATACTAACTATTTTATTACACAAAGAGTAACAAGGATGGTGCCTGTTGCACCCAACATTCAAGAAATTAACAGTTATAGCAGAATTTGACTCAACAAATAAGTCCCCAGACATCCCGGTATCATGTGCAAGCTTGATGCCATAGTAAACAGTCCAAAACTCTGCTTGGACAACTGAACACAAACCAATTTGGCAAGAGAAGGCCACAACAAAAGTTTCATGATGATCACGAATGATTCCCCCACAAGTAGCTCTGGAACCAACCACTACAACCCATCGCAATTCAATTTAAAGGCACCTATAGCGAGTAAAGTCCAAGAAATATGACTGTGAGGTAAATTATAGTCAAAATCAAGACAAGACTTAAGTGGAGAGGAAAAGGTCTGATTGATACAAGAAGTCCTAACCTGAATTTGAACAACAAGACCATAAATGTTAGGATCTATATTATGGAAAACAACATTGTTTCGCATAATCCAGATAGCATCCAAGCAACAACAAACAAAATATCTCCCTATTAGTACAAATTTCACACTAGCCATAACATCCAATCCATAGTAAAAAAATTCTCTACGCAACATACCATTGAAAATGTTAATCCAGAAACTTTTGGCCACTTAACAGTCACGCATTGCATAGATTAAAGTTTCTGACTCATCATGACAAACCGAACATAAGAGATTCATTGTCATGCCTCTACGCATACGCAAGTCATTGGTTAAAGACTCTTGTGAACTAAGCGCCAAAGAAATGTTCGAATCCATTTAGGCCCTTTCTATAGACACCTAATTTCGTCTGGGACATCCAAACAAGGCAAAAGACTAATAAAAAGAAGACAAGAGGACCTTAAGGGCCCAATGTGACATCAAAACAAACTAGAACACCATCAGGAAGCCTAAAAGCTTAAAAAGGCTAAATTAGGAGCTTGGAACAGGCTGTTCCCAATCTGGAACGAGTCATTCCAAACTACCAAAAAGGTCTATAAACCCTAGGTCAAAATGGGTTGTTCCCAATCTAGAACGAACCATTTTGACCCACGTTATTATGAGCAAAATAGTAGTTTGGAATGGGTCATTTTGATTTTGAAATGGACTGTTCCAAATTCAAAATTTTTCCATAACAAACCAATTTGGAACAGCCCGTTCCACTGATCAAAACGATCATTCCAGTTGGTTCTGACGCCTATAAATAGGTGTCTCATTCATAGTGCAAAAGGATCGAATTTTGACCAGATTTTTATCAAAGATTGGATCGAAGATTGAGAGAACTATTTTTATTAGTTCTAGTTCATAAACACTTCCCTTCTCTTTCTCCTTGTATTTCTTGAGTAAGGACATTTGTAGAGTGAAAGGTTACTAAAAAACGCCTACAAACCGCCATAAGAAGAATTCTATAAAGATTGCTTCGGAGGTATTACTATTAACTCTCTCTCTCTCTCTCTATCATTGGTCTATCTAAATAGTCACTATAAATAAATAAGCAATCATGTAGAAATACTATTCTAAATGTTTAGGGGCTTAAATCCCTCATCTTCACATGCAATTATGATGTAAAAGTAACATGTATATAACCAAAAAGGGAATAAGATATTCAAATTATTATTCTTTATTGTGTTAATTTTATCATAGGGTGCCGATTTAGGGTGTTGTAGGTTGCCTAATACTTTCCTTACACGTAAACGACATCTGAACCAAATTCTAGCTATGAAGGCCATAACTGACTTTTCAAAAATCCTTTCTTTTCCTGATATTTTGAGAAAAATATCGGTGGAAACTCCTTTGAACTTTTCAAAAACCATTGATTAGGGATTAGTTTGATTTTCGGGCATTCCCTAACTGATGAGATTTTCAAAATGGAGGTCCAAACCATCTGTAGGTAAGATCAGAATATTTTAGATTTCGACAAATGGCAACTCTACTAAAGAAGCTTTAAAAGGGTCACGCCCAATAAATGATGTAATTAACAAAATAAAAATAATAGTTCAAATATATTTTTCCATTTACTTTGTTTGTCTTATATGTAAATATTTACTTGTTTGGCTTTAATATTTGTATGTTTGTTTAAATTCTGCACCTATTTGAAATAAAGCAACTGTACTCAAACCCTTGCACACAACAATTTCCTCTACACCCGGGGGCATGAGTGTATAAACCATAGGGAGTGGTTGACGTACGACCGACCCAAGAATGGCCTTGAGCTTGCAGGTTTTGTCAAAAATCATACTCAAGGTGATAGCCGGTTACTCTAACCCGAAATACTACGTCAAACCCTAAAGTTTGTCAGGTGACGGTGACAGAGGTACTGGGTCCTTATGATGGGGGGCACCTTGGGAGCCTTTAAAGACTAAGTGATGATAGTTAGAATTTTCCTATACAAAACACTTTCTTTGACAGGGACCCTAGACCATGGATTTGAACATGACTGCTCGTGGGTGTATGTTGCTTGACCATTTGTTTGTTGTATTTGTTTGTGCACATTGTTTGTCTCAATAAGGAGTGGATTGGAATTTTAAAACAAGAAAACAGATAATAAAGAAGGAAAAAATAATAAATAAAGAAATTAATGCTCTTTTGTACATTCTTAGGTCATCATCTTGTTAAGCATCATATAGGATTTTTTTAGTAATATATATATATATATATATATATATATATTAAATGTTTTTTACCATTAGTTTTGATTCTTTTTAATTACTTTTAAATCCATTGTTAAAGATTTGACCAAACTGATAAATTTTTTTAAAAAAATATTAAATTATAAATAACATATTTAATGCATTAAATAAAGTATTGAATGCTTCTTTAAATAATTAATAAAAAATATCAAATGGGAGTACTTCTTAATGCTAGAGACTTAACCAAATAATAATAATAATTATTAAATTTGTTATACATCTTTTATTTTACAATAACACAGATTATAACTTTAAAGAAATGACTGGGAAGCTACACATGCAAGGATCCTGCAATAACTGAGAAGTGAGAAGGAAAAAAAACGTCCCTTGGTAATAAATGGAGAAAATAGCTAGATCGAAAGCGAGTAGAATTTTAACAAGAGTCAACGGAGGAAGGTGTTTTTCCTTATTTGGGTGACAGAGGCGAGAGGGTGATCCAAGTGCACCAAAATTCACCCTTGCGTGCCAGAAACAAGTGAAAGTGGTGGGGATTTCACCTTCTCAGTTCTCACTTTGTGGGGCTCTCTCCTAAAATGATCACACCCTATGTTAGATACATCCTAGGCACACACATATCTAACCCTTTTTAAAATCACAATTCAAACCCTCACTTGTGTGCTAGCTAGTGTGGTGAGCCTTCACTTTTTTTCCAATTCCCTTCACTCCTAAAAACTTTAGGAGGGAAGGGGGGGCAATGGAGCCACAAAACAAACACCATTTTGGAACTTCCAACATCCCCATTCTAGCACACCATTGCTGTCTCATTAGCCTCTTCTTCTTCACAATCTTCACTAACACCCAAGCCTTGGATTATGCTGATGCACTTTCAAAGAGCCTCCTTTACTTTGAAGCACAACGCTCTGGGAGGATTCCTTATAATCAGCGTGTCGCTTGGCGTGACCATTCTGGCCTCACTGATGGCCTAGAGGAAGGGGTATGCATGTCCACATTCTCAATACATAACCCCACATGCCCCAAATCATCAAATTCTTCTCTTTCACTTTCTTGGTATGCCAATTCCCATTCAAAATCTTCTCTTTTTTTTTTTTGTGTGTAGGTGGATTTGGTTGGAGGGTACTATGATGCGGGGGATCATGTGAAATTTGGTTTACCAATGGCTTTCACCATCACAATGCTCTCATGGGGTGCCATAGAGTATAGGCAACAAATTGAAGAAGCAGGTGAATTGGAACACACATTGGAGGCAATCAAATGGGGCACTGATTATTTCATCAAGGCTCACACTAGCCCCAATGTGCTATGGGCAGAGGTACTAATATAAAGTGCTTGCTTCCTCATTTTATTTTATTTCTCAACAAATTTCCACCCAATTCATTATTTGCACTGTTTTACATTGGTTGGAGAAATTGAATGAAATTGTGAAATTAATGTTACTTTTTTCAGGTGGGTGATGGTGACACTGACCATTATTGCTGGCAACGGCCAGAGGACATGACAACTTCACGGCGAGCATTTAAGATAGATGAGAACCACCCTGGTTCAGATCTGGCCGGAGAAACTGCAGCAGCTATGGCAGCTGCATCCATTGTGTTCAGAAAAACAAACCCACATTATTCTCACTTGCTCCTACACCATGCCCTTGAGGTGAGTCATTAGCCAATGTTTTAATTTGTGTGCTAATTAAAGCATGATTGATTGGTTTTGACTATGTGCCATAATTAATAATAATTGTTGGAGCAACTTTTGTGCGACAATCTCAATTTTAAAACTAATAATTGGGGTTAGAGATATTTGATTTTGAAGGGGAATGGGAAATTAAGGTTTCGTATTTATTTAATTTAATTTAATTTAATTATAGGAATGCATAATAGTATTTATTGTGTGTGTTATTGCAGTTGTTTGAATTCGGAGACAAGTATAGAGGAAATTATGATGCTAGTGTCGGAGTGGTAAAGAGCTACTATGCGTCGGTGAGTGGATACATGGATGAGTTGTTGTGGGCTGCCACGTGGCTCTACAAAGCCACCGACAACAAAGAGTATCTTGAGTATGTTATTTCCAATGCTCAAAACTTTGGTGGCACTGGTTGGTCCATATCAGAATTCAGCTGGGACGTTAAATATGCTGGTCTTCAAGTCATGGTTTCCAAGGTAAACTTCCCTTCAATCACTATTACACTCTCTTATTATGCGTGTTTTTGTTCATAAAACTCAAAAATATGTGTGTTTTCATATTATTTGGGTTAATTTCAAACCCCTTTGTTTTCTTTTTCCCCATGTGAGGGGCTCTTTTCTATCCAACTTTATCTAGATTTTGTTTTTCTAACCTGAAATGACGGGTTAAACCTTGGTACTTTATTTTAAAGGTGATTGATGGAGTATGCATGAATTAAGGTATATTAGTATATTATCTTGGGGGTATTGAAGACATAAAAACTAAAAAGGGTGGCCAAGCATAAGGCCATGTGCAGCTAGTACTTTAGCATTACAAAACAGTGTAATTAAAAGTGGATTGGCTCATGGTTGAGCCAAATGTTAGAAATGTGAAGTACAGATAGCCTTAAACACCTTTGTTTCCACCTCTACTTTTTTTATTTATTTATTTAATTTTATTTTATAATAAATAAATGAGTAAATGTCCAAGTGGAGTCTTGAAAAGAAAAATAAAAATAAAAAAGGGAAGGCGCTTAGATGAAAAAACATAAATTAATTATTTAGTTTCTCGAAATCATCGAGGTGGGACACTTCAATCCTTTAGCCTTTTTTAGCTAGCATTTTTAGAAAACAATGTATATCATTTATTATTTTGTTGGGAATTAAGTTGATATATGATTCACTTTTTTATATATTATAAAACTAATCATATGTTAAAAATGGAAGAAAATAGATAGAAAGATTAAATTATTCCACATTTATAAATCGATGACCAGATGCAAATTAACCCAAATTTAGTCTGATTATTTTGCATGGAATCAGTTAAAAAAAAAAAAGTAATCTAACCAAGTCCGAACTTAACTAATTACTTCAATTTTGTTATCAGACTTGACCCCACCCATGTGTAGACTTTTTTTTTTTTTGGTGTGGATAAAATTTACACTGTATGGAGAGTTTGATTTGGAGAGAGAAAAAATGATCATAGATGATCATGAAATCGATGAGAATGAATGATTTACTTTGAACCAAATTCAACAAGCAACTAGTGGGTTGAATAATAGCATGCAGTTTACATAATATTTACTTTGAATCTCATACCTATGCTTATTAGAGTAATCTAATTACATTTTCATATTTTTTCAGTTCTTAAGCGAAGAAAAACACAAGAAGCACAGGAATGTGCTGGAACAATATAGATCAAAAGCAGAGTACTACATATGTTCATGTCTCAACAAAAACAAAGATGGCGATAACTTGGAACGCACCCCAGCAGGGTTACTCTATGTCCGACAATGGAACAACATGCAATATGTTTCAACAGCGTCATTTCTTCTCTCGATATACTCTGATTTCCTTCGAAATACAAACCAAAAGCTCAATTGCCATGGGGGCACAGTGGACCATGAAGAAATTCTCAATTTTGCCAAATCACAAGTTGATTACATTTTGGGCTCTAACCCAAGGAACATGAGCTATTTAGTGGGCTATGGCCCAAACTACCCCAAAAGGGTGCACCATAGAGGGGCATCCATTGTGTCATACAAAAAGAATAAAGGGTTCATAGGGTGCACCCAAGGGTATGATAATTGGTATGGTAGCCAAGAACCTAACCCTAATGTTCTTGTTGGGGCTTTGGTGGGTGGGCCTGATGGTCAAGACAATTTTGAGGATCGGAGGAACAATTATATGCAGACTGAGGCTTGCACATATAATACTGCCCCTTTAGTTGGTGTTTTTGCAAAGTTGTTGCATATAGAAAACCTAAAATTGGTTCGTGATTGTGATTCACTTTTGGTTGCTTCCTTTAAGTGATATAGACATAGTAAACAAAAGTAATAATACAGTATATGTTTCTCATAAGTCAAAAGGCCAACTTTTTTTTTTTTTTCAATTATTTTTTCCTCATTCATGAGTGATTTGTGCTTTGGCTGAGATTTTCTGGCCTCAAATTAATGTACTTTCAATATAAACAAATCTATAATCTTCCCATTCAGACTAATGGAATCAACTTCATTTGCCTGATTGCACTTTTATTTTTGGATGATCACGGTTCATTCAACAAATAAATGTTGCCGATTATGATAATGGGTTTGGATGACACAATTTCATTTCAGACTTTCAGTTGACCACAACAAAGGCTCATCAAAATGTTTCGTCACGGCCCAAGAAAATGTTCGTCTAATGGTTTAAGATTTATCATGGACGATACAGGCCTGTTCGTTCAAAATAAGAAAGATATATTTCTAAAAACATGTCTTCTCATTAGTTTATGTATTTGATAGGGAGAAGAATGATGATTGGAAAACATTGCCAAATTTTTGTTTTGTCCCTCTTGTCGAATATGTTTAAAGTTTGAATAGATGATAGTACAGTAGATGTTTCATGTTGGATAGAAAATGCACGAAGGAATGATTGTATAATTATTAAAACAGAGTACATCATTATTGACTATAAAGACTTGGCAATTTTACTATTTAAAATATAAATTCACGTGGAGATTCATTCCTCTTCCTCTAATATTTTGACAAATTTTATCCAAATCTATCCTAAATTCCACTAACACAATACAGGCAATCAAGTAGCTAAACAGTTGCTTCTGAATCAATAGAAGAAAAAAAAAAGAAGATGAAGAAAAGATGGGTCAATTATGGAAGGTATTGGCATTGGAGTGTGTAACTGTTAAAAGGGATAACATTGGAGTGCACTGCACAGTGTCCATATTTCCGGCCTTTGAGGAAAGCTTTTGATAAATGGGTTCCATGTTTGGTCAGTGGTCAACTACAGTCAACACAAACGCCAACATTAGCAATCACTGCGCCTCATAAAGTTACTTCAGTGTGGACATGTTACTAAAACTTTTCTCCATCAATCAATTGCTAAATAAATTAGGGATTGCAATTTCCTTCTTTTTTTTCCTTACATCCAATTTTCGTTTCCTTTTTCTCTTTCTCATGTATATGCATAGACTTTCACATTATTATTATTTTTATCTGTAAAAATTACTAATGATAGTACTACTAGTCGAACCTAAAACTCTATTACTCCAATATTTATTATAAAGTTTACTTAATTTACTTTAGTTAAGAAATTGATTAATTTAGTTAACAGTATTAAGGTTAAATATACTTTTTAATAACTATAATTTTACTTATTTTATCTTTTAGTTTTTATAGTTTAAAATATTTTTTTTAATCTTCATAATTATTTTTTTTATCCTTTTTATTCTTCATAATTTAAGGTAGATTTTTTTAGTCTTTACATATATAATTTTTAAAAAAAATTTTAGTCATTGTCATAAGTATTTTTGCAGCGTTATCTCCTTTGTCTGATAAAGGATATTTATTCAACTTTATGTGTGAAATTTGTTTTGTTAAAATTATTCTAAATTAGATTTTTTAGCACTTGTATCTCTTTTATATTCTCACATATACTCATCGTTGAGATGCCTTTTTTTTTTTCTAAAAAAATTAAAGACTTTTATCACATCAATAAAAATACAACATTACTCAAAAGAACATGAATGATAAAGACTAAAAAAATTAATAAACTATAAGAGCTAAAAGAACTATCATAAACTATAAAAAGTAAAAAAGATGGAAAAAGATAAAATACGAAGATTAGAAAAGTATTGAAATTAAAAAATAAATAAAATTATAAGGTTTAAAAAATATTTTATTCTAATATTAAATTTTACCCAAAGTTTATTTTTTCAAAAAAATTGCCATTTACACAAATGGCACTTACGCTATCAATTATTATTGAATTAAAAGAAGTGATTTTAGTTAAGATTACTTTTTGTAAAAAAATTGTTTTTGACAACATTTCTTGCAAAAAATAATAAATGTAAAAGATATTTTTATTAATTCTAATAAAAAAAATCAACTATAGCTCTTCATTTGATAAATATTAAAATAAAATGATTTAATTTTTATACACTTACAACATAAAAGTTATTATTCCCTTTAGATCATAATTTTTTATGTTTAAAAATTTAGTACATTTTTAAAAAATATTTAATTATAATATATTAAGTTTAAAGTATTATCATATAATATCTTGAAATATATAAAGTAAAAACAAATAAAGATATGAAATACAAATATTAATTGTCAAATAAAAGTATACGTAAAAAAATTATTTAATATCACTTTAAATGCGTAAAATATTGAAATTTTGGAAAAAAAAATTATGGTTTGAAAAGAGTAACTTAATTACATTAATCAATGAAAAAATATTTTAAGAATAATTAAAAAATAGGAGTAAAATAATTATTTTAAAATTAATAAATTTTCCCCAACACATATATATGCGCGAATGCGACAATATAATATAAAATATTTTATATTTTAAGTTTATAAATTCAATTAAAAGTATAGAAATTATATAAAAAAGTATTTTCAAACTAATGTTATATTTTCTACCAAAAAAAACTAATATTATTTTAACAGGAAAAAAAAAATGACTTGTGCAGTTTTCTTGCTGTTCTTAAGATGATCTCTTGCAGCAAAAGGGAAGCATTTTGTCTTATCAAATTACGATTTTTTATTTCCGAATTTGAAAATCGATTCATTCAATTCTCTCTTTCTATTTTATTTTATTTTATTTGAAAGTGCATAAAGAAAAGAGAAAAGAAATGTATTATATAACAACCGAAAGTTTCATTTTGTGTCTGCCATTGGACTCAAATCCTGAGAAAGTTCCTTTTTTATGATCTCTGAGAAAGAATTGGATTCAAAGTTGTGACTTTTGCGCAAATGGGTATCAATCAATGTCGGTTCCGGTGGTTCAACGCCGTCGTTTTGATCGGAATGGTCGGCGTTGCGGTGACGGTTACCGGTTCCGACAGTCACGTGAAGCAGGAACAATTGGTTTCTCGAATTGCCTTCGGATCATGCTCCAACCAGAGCGCTCCTCAGGTTCCTAAATTTTTCTATTTTGTTGTGCTTTTTTCCCCTTACTTTTTATTCTTGTTTTGGTATGTTTTGTCCTGTCTTTGTTTTATTTTCACCCATGTTGCAGTGTCGATTAATGGAACTGATACACTAATGATTCTGTTTCTCTGTTTCAACCACGATGTCCCAATTCTTGTACTAACATGCTGTTGCAGTCCCAATGTTACGTCAGCTTTAAGCAAACTGCAGTTATGTTGTACTCAACAAGAAGTAAAAAATCTGTCTTTGGATAAATTGTCTAATTTTCTGTAAACAAAATAATTTTGATTAATTTTATGTAACAAGTAGCAAACCAACTTATAATTTTCCGTGGATTCTGGAACATGTTCCCTGTTCTTCTTAAGAATTATAGGTTGGGATGAATATGTATGATATTGTTTTTAAAGATGCATGTGAAACTCAGTTTTATCCCAATTTTTAAAAGAAATCGCAGTTCATTGTGCAGTAGACGACCTCAATTCCTAGTGTGTTCCACACTTTAATCACTAAAAATCACTACTGAAACTAGACAACTATTTTTTTTTACGTTGTACTAGGTAGTATGTTACTGTGTGGTCTTTTATAGTATTTCTTAATCTAAACACCCAAATTGTATTGCATATATAACCAAGTTCAAGCAATCAAGGAGCCAATTTTTGGTACTTTTTGGTTGTAGTTTGGGTTTGCAATCTTATATTGTTTTCTTGTTTGACTTCTTTAGGCTACAAAAGTCTTTCCCAGCACAAGCTCAATGTTTGTTATTATTTAGGCTTTTAATTGCTATGATTGCAGAATAATGTTAACTTTCTCATGTCAGCTCATTTATATGTGTATGCTGTGTGTTGTATTTCTTTGCCAGCCCATTTGGGATGCCGTGGTTGACTTCCATCCCCAAATTTTTATATGGCTGGGTGATAACATTTATGGAGACTTAAAACGCCCTTTCAAAATATTTGGAAAGGAAAGGACCATTGGGCCATGGAAGAATGTTCCACGATTTGTTCCTTCCTCTCAGCAGTTTTATTATAATCA